TGGATGAAGTTAATGCAGTTGATGCAGTTTATATGGATTTTCAAAAGGTATTTGATAAAGTGCCACATAAGAGAGTTGTAAGCAAACTAAAAGCCTACGGTATTAAAGGGACAGTGGCAGCATGGATACAGAACTGGCTCAGAGACAGAAAGCAGAGAGTGGTGGTGAACGGTTGATTTTCTGACTGGAGGGAAGTGTGCAGTGGTGTCCCCCAGGGGTCAGTATTGGGACCACTGCTGTTTTTTATCTATATGAATGTCCTGGACTTGGGTATAGGGAGTACAATTTCCAAGTTTGCAGATGATACTAAGCTAGGAAAAGTAGTAAACAGTGAGGAGGATAGTAGCAGACTGCAAGAGGACATAGACAAACTGGTAAAATGGGTAGACATGTGGCAGATGAAGTTTAATGTGGATAAATGCAAAGTGATGCATTTTGGAAGGAAGAATGAGGAAAGACAATATAAGTTGATGGTACAATCTTAAAGGGGGTGAAGGAACAGAGAGACCTGGGGGTTCATATAAGTAAATCTTTGAAGGTGGCAGGACAGGTACATAAAGGTGTTAAAAAAAGCATAGAGAATACTAGGCTTTATAAACAGGGGCATAGAATACAAAACAACAACAACAACAAGATTCCATTTATAAAGCGCCTTTCACGTCAGGAGGACGTCCCAAGGCGCTGCACAGTTGGGTCATGACCTGAGCAGGGGGGAAATGGTCAGGGGAGGGGAGGGAGCGAGGAGGGGGAAATGGTCAGGGTGAGGGGAGGGAAGGGAGGGAGCGAGAAGGGGAAGAGAGTCGAGAGGGGAGCTGAAGGCTCGGTCAAAGAGAAAGGTTTTGAGACCGGCCTTGAAGGAGGAGAGGGAGGAAGCGGCGAAGGCACTGGGGTATAGAGTTCCAGAGCCTCGGGGCTGAGAGGCTGAAGGCCCGACCACCAATGGCAGGGCGATTGGGGCGGGGGACGTGGAGCAGACCGGAGCCGGAGGAACGGAGGGTACGGGCAGGTAGGTAGGGGATAGTAGGTTGGAGAGGTAGGAGGGAGCAAGGCCGTGAATGGCCTTGTAGGTGAGGATGAGGATCTTGAAATCAATCCTCTGGGGGATGGGGAGCCAGTGGAGGCGAGCGAGGGTGGGAGTGATGTGGTCGCGAAGCCTGGTGCGGGACAGTACACGAGCTGCAGAGTTCTGAATGACCTGCAGCTTGTGGAGGGAGGTGGCGGGAAGGCCGGCGAGGAGAGAGTTCCCATAGTCCAGCCTTGAGGTGACAAAGGCGTGGACCAGGGTTTCAGCAGCGTGAGGGGTGAGGTAATGCCGTAGTCTGGCGATGTTCCGGAGGTGATGGAAGGCGGTGCCAGTTGTGGTGCGGATGTGAGGGAGAAAGGACAGCTCAGGGTCGAACAAAACGCCGAGGTTCCTGACTGGCTTTGAGAGGTGGAGAGTGCAGCCTTGGATGCTGATGGTGTCAGCGCCTGAGGTGCGGAGGCGCTGACGTGAGCCAATCAGGAGGGCCTCGGTTTTTCGCACGTTGAGCTGAAGAAAGTTGTCTCTCGTCCAGGACTCGATGTCGGACAGGCAGCTGTCAGGACATCGGTGGTCGTGGAGTTGAGAGTAGAGGAGGAAAGGTAGAGTTGGGTGTCATCCGCATACATGTGGAAGTTAACTCCATGTCTGCGGATGATGTCACCAAGGGGGAGCATATAGAGGGTGAAGAGGAGGGGACCGAGGACAGAGCCCTGAGGGACACCACATGAGACAGTACGGGGGGTGGAGGAGAAGCCATTCGTCGAGACAAAGTGAAGACGGTGAGAAAGGTACGACCTAAACCACTCAAGGACAGTGCCTTGAAGGTTGAGGTGGGAGGACAAGCGGTGGAGTAGGATAGCGTGGTCGACCGTATCGAATGCTGCCGATAGGTCGAGGAGGACGAGGAGGCAGAGGGAGCCCTGGTCACAGATGGTCAGGATATCATTGGTGACCTTGACCAGGGCAGTTTCTGTGCTATGGGCAGCACGGAAACCCGACTGAAGGGGTTCGAAAAGAGAATGGGTGGAAAGGAAAGAGCGCAGTTGGGAGGCGACAACTCTTTCCAGGACCTTGGAGAGAAAGGGGAGGTTGGAGATGGGCCGGTAGCTTGATAGCTGCGACGCATCAAGGGAGGGTTTTTTCAGGGTGGGCGTGATGGTGGCAGTTTTTAAGGGAATGGGGACAGAGCCAGAGGAATAGTCAGGAAAGTCAGGAAGTTACGATGAACCTTTATAAAACACTGGTTAGGCCTCAGCTAGAGTACTGTGTCCAGTTCTGGCCACACTTTAGGATGTCAAGGCATGGGAGAGGGTGCAAAGGAGATTTACCAGGATGGTACCAGGAATGAAGGACTTCAGTTATCAGTAGAGGCTAGAGAAGCTAGGATTATTCTCCTTGGAACAGAGAAAATTAAGAGGAGACTTAAAATAAATTCAAAATTGTGAGGGACTTTGATAGGGTGAACTAGTTCCACTGGTGGGTGGGTCGGTAACCCGAGAGCACCAATTGAAAATAGTTAAAGGATTGTTAAAGGAAACAGAGATGATGAGAATTTTTTCACACAGCGAGTTGTTTGGATCTGGAATGCATGGCCTGAAAGGGTGGCGGAAGCCGATTCGATAACAACTTTTAAGAGAGAAGTAGATAATTATTTGGGGAGGACAAGTTTGCAGGGCTATGGGGAGAAAGGGGGGGAAATAGGATTGATTTGGATAGCTCTTTTCAGACATGATGGGTCGAATGGCCTCCTTCTGTGCTGTGTAATTCTAAAATTCTATGATTCTACAAATACAACAGTGGGACCGCACTTTTTCCACGGAATGCTCTGCAAACACCTACCTGCGCTACAACCCACACCCCTCCCCTACAAACCAACACACTGTGCGCTAGGCTCCTCTACAAACCTGTACACACATTGTGTTAGGCTCCGCTACAAACCTATAAACACAATATGTAGGCCTCGGGAGTGTTGGGTTAGTGGAAGCAACGCGAGCGGAAAATCAGCTTCCACTGGCACCCAGGGCCTAAACTGAGCTCCTGCGACCACTTCTTGATAAGTGCTGTGCTATTCACATTAACATTTTTAGTATTTCAAACATAACTACATTTTCAGGAAATATATGCCTATAGTTTTAATCGGGTTGCTTCACAAAATGTGTCTCTCAATAGCACGAATTAACGCTCTCAATTTTCCTGCAAAATTTGTCAGCAAATTTTGGCAAACATTTCCACACTTTTCTATTGGCCCAGCTAATAAGTCTTAAAGAAATGATTTTTTTTAGATGACTGGGTAGATAACACAACTTTTTGGTCACCCTGTATTTGACATTTTACCAATCCAACAGCTGTTTTGTGCATGTTGACAGCTGCAATTGGTTCCTCAGTTAAAGCAATTAGTTACAGCTAATGGCACAATTGTCTGCTGCTGATTTTAACTCCATTTCCAATACAAATTTCAGACGTTTACTGCCCTTCTTCCAACAGACACTAAAATTCCTTTGGAAATCAAAGCTGGGCTCTCCACAGAAGTGGTAGCAGTCTGATACCAGCAACCAATGACAACTAGTTGTGCATCATGGCACTTCAAATGTCTGCATGTCTGCACTGGAGATGACTGCAGCCGCACTAACAGTGGGAAATCCATTGGATTACAGAATGTCAAATACCATATATAATGAATGATGATATACATTGTAATTTTTTTGCTGTATTACCTGTTCATAAAAGTAGGATCACAAATGCAGTAGAACTTATTTCACCCTTTTCTAAATGCTGTATTTATTTAAACGTGTTGAGCCCTATATTCAGAGATGCCGTGGTAAACACACTTCAGGAGGTTTAACTGAGTATTAGCCGCATTCAATTAGCACTGAATTGCTAATCTGCAATAGTCAAACCTAATAATTATATGCTGAGCAAGAAAAGCAAGAAATACAAGAAAGAAATACAAATAAGAAAGAATATTTCTTTAGGATGTGCTATTGCTCTGTTTTTTGTGCAGGGTAGTGGCATCCTGTTTTCAAGGGAATTCATTTTTGATAAACATATTTGATAATCATGCAGAATTAAAACCAGGGGTTTTACATAAAAATGTATTTATTTTTCTCCAGACTATTTTTCTGCCTTTCTATTTTCAAAACCGATTGGGTGCAGGTAAAGTGGATTGATTGTGTATTTTGTGGGCAAAGCACGGCAGCCAATTGCGTACAGCAGTGTTCCATAAACAGTTGTGGATTGAGTGACCAGATTTTTTTTGGAGGGATTATTAAACCCGGAAAGCAATCCGTCAATCAACTACAATCTGAGTTCCAATTTATTGCTAAGTAATCAGAGCTGTGTGGAGTAAGGAAACTTGCATAAGGTTTCATACTGTCCGGCAATCGAATCCGGCCTTTTGCTTGCGTGGCGAGTGTGCTAAACACTAAAATAGGGGACTGCACTGTTAAAATAAATGTGCTCTAAGGGTACAAATCAAGCATTGACTGCAATAAAACTATTGGCCTCCAGCAATGGACTGTTTCACAAGTTTCATAATCTGCGTGTCCCTTGTGTCCATTGCTAAAACTACTCCACACCAATTCCAGTAAACTCACTTATCACATAACAGGAATCTTCCCAGCGAAACTCAACAGTCAGTCAAAAGAATAAATTAGAGAAACACATACCAGAACCAAATGAATTCATTCAGATTGTAAAACGACCTCTGCTGTGCACTGTATAACATTTTTGATGAGGTTACTATACTGGACAAGAGGTATGATTGAAGCACAAATTCCCATAGGATCTTAAGTTTACAGTTTTCTGGTATTGTAGTGTTTTTATAACTTATCAAAATTGAACCTTCACTGCTCCTCCCATCACTTTACAAAGTAAAACTGTTCAACACAAAGCCCCTGAAAGGTATTGCAAACACGGAGTATTCACTCAGACCAAATAAGGTCCTTCATGAATAAATATTTAAATCAGAAGAAAATACCTGTTCCAAGATAAAAGATACGGTTTCCAGCACGAGATGTAGATCTTGCTTTTCCAAAGAAAGCGCAACTTGAAGTTTTTCTTCCTCTTCCTCGCTAAATGAACGTTCATCCTAAAGTAAGAAACAGCTCATTGTGGTACCAACAAATTTGGTGGTATCAACATGTATGAAGAAGAATCCTTGAATTGTTGCATTTCCAAGTGTGCCTTATCACATTATCGAGGCATCTCAAATTGCTTCATAGGATTTTGCTGTAAAGTATAATGACTATTTTTGTAGGCAAACGCAGCAGCCAATTTTTACATAGCAATGTCCCCACAAACAGCCAATTTTATCTTGGGGACTGCAAGCCAGGATATAAGGAGAAACTCACAGTAAATCTTGTGAAGAGCTTTGAGACATCCTCCCAACGTGAAAGGGGGAAACCACAATTTCCATTTATATAGCAGCCTTCACAGGAGTAACATCATGGAGCACTTAACAGCTGCGTGGCTCAACACCAAGTCGGAAAGGGGTAAAAGTGACCAAAGGCACAGTCAAAGAGGAAAGTCTTCAGGTGTATTTTGAAGATGGGCAGATTGGGTGGCAAGACAGAGGCACTGAGGCAAGGAGATCCAGAGATTCGGGGTGTCATGGTGTAAGTACGGCCATCAATTGTGGAGTGGAGGGGACGAGGAATGTGTGGCATTCCCGTGCCAGCTGAGTGAAGGCAGGAAGAGGAGTAGGGTGTGAGCAGATTGGGGAGATAGGGAAATGCCAAGGCGTGAAGGGATTTCGAAATGAGACTGAGGATCTTAAAAGCGATCCATTTTTTACTATATCAAATCCAAGGATGATTATTATTACCATGCAAAGCATTAAATGCAACACAAAAAACATTTATGCCTGCTACTTTGATCACATTGTTTTATTAATAACTAGCTGTCCCCATTGCAGCTTCGCTTGCAACCAAAGGATCCAATATGGAATGCAGACTGACACTCAGACAGACCCACAGACAGACATTTCATCTTTATCTGTACTCATCTGGGAGGACTGCTTTTCGGAGGACTGCTTTTGGGAGGACTCCTTTTGGGAGGACTCAGTGGATGGACTCAGCGCTTTAAAAATGTAATTTTGTTGTTGTTGCAGTGGCTTAGCTTTGAATGTGTTCTTTATTTTGTTCCCGCGCCGCTTGGCTACGTGCGTGCTCTGTGACGCAGGATGCCACGGCTCCAAGGTCAGCCGGCATAGCCACCAGGTGTAACTGCACGATGCCACAACGCCACTTTGACTCAGCAGACACCAGGTGTAACTGCAGCAATCAACGCAAAACTGAAATACATTTTAAGTCAACTCATGAACGATAGGAGATACCCGAAAACAAATATGCCCATGTCACTCCCAAGTACAAGTCCTTTGCAATAAGGTATAACTCATGTATCTATGTCAACCAGTTATTGAAATCCTTCCTGAAGGGCACAGACAGACAGACATTGTCATTTTATCAGTATAGACAGAGTAAAAATAGGCATCACTACTACAGCTGCCATTGAGTACCTTTAAATGAAGCTTCTGAAGGATGCGAGACAATAGCCGCGGAAATTTGCCAGTGTCGATGCCATTAATCAGGACCACAGCTCGCTTTATGCTGTTCAAAGGGAAAATAGTAAACAGAGGAGAAGCTTCACTCAGTTATGCAAAATTTTAAAATCACTGCACCTGACAAAATGTTAAAATCACTATTCAAGGAGTTAAATGCTTTTATTGCTTCTGGAGATTATAAAATTAACACTCATCAAATGACCAAGTACATGTAGTGACAATTTTAGAAACCCCTTTATTTTTGACTGTGATACTGTATTGCAGATTCAATTCTTAAATAATGGCAATAAACAGAATTTTTTAAATGTTCGAAAAATAGCTTCAATATTCCGAAAATAGGAACAACAAACTCTCGGTGTTTTATCATTTGAACTCATCAAAGAGATTATTTTTCTTTTTATGATTCCTAAATATCCATTAATCTTTATGTTTTTAATAAGTACGTGTGTGTGAGAGTGTGTGTGTGTTGAGGAACGGAAGGAAAGTATGTTCAATGTATAGTACTCCTTTTATTTAGATTACTTTTTTTAAAAAAATACAAAATATTAATTCCCCAAATGTTGACATGCGCAAATGTACCTGATTCCCTGTCCTGCAGCTCTTCCCTGACATTTTTTTTTATCAGCTGCTGTAGACCAATTTTGCAGCTATTTAACTTTCCATTCATTTTTCTCAGTATTTATGACCTGGGTCAATAGAAAAGTGCGGGCGCACCTTTTCCGCAACAGCGGGCCTCGTCTGCTACAAACCCACTGTAAGAAGCACCTCGGGTAGTGACCGTTACCCACAGTGCGCTCGGCCCCAGGCCTCTCGCGCTGTTCGCTCAACGCCGCTACTGTGGCCGGAGCGGCTCCGACCTCGCATGCGCGGTGCAGTGACTTTTGGGATCGCGGAATCGACGGGAAACCGACTTCGCCGGTGAGTGAACCTCAACAGGAAAAATCAGCTGCGTCACACACGCTCCCACACAGTCCTGGTAAGTGCTGTACTATTTCAAATTAAGATATTTAGTATTTTGAACGTAACTACATTTTCAGGAAATTCACACCTCTCCGGGCTGTTTCGCTTTTTAGGTTGTTCAATACAAAACTGTCCCAAGTTTTTGTAAATCCCACGAGGAAGCCTCATTTTCCGCCTATCTCTCAGATAGAAACTGTGCTCTATCCAGATGGCCTTTATGAAGAAGGGGGTCAGGTGTTTCGCCATGTTTGTTGTCACACAATTGCCCATGTTCGCAAGTTCACTGATGAGCACATGAAATCTCGGAAACAGTGTGAGCGGCAGTAAAGAAAAAAACCATCACTGCTTTGTAATACATACTTATTACAAACCATCACAGCTTTGTAATACATACTTTTTATATATATAATATTAAACGAAAATGTATCATTATTAGTTTTCACTTCAATTTGAAAGAAAATCTTAATTTGTAACTATTACAAAAATTAATCTCCCTCCTTTTTTGATTGAATTTTAAAAGCACATAAAACAACCACAGCAAACCAAAACAAACAGACAGAACATTTCTAACCACAAATGCATCATGAAGATCAATTTTTATTTTTTTCTTTATAGGTGGATCTGGACCTCAAAGATAACTTGCTCTGACAACCTGCTTCTCTAGAGCCACTGCATCATCTATGGAGAGAACATAATTCATATTGGATTTTGTGCAGTGTTTGATGAGAGCAGACATACTACTTGAAAAACTGCCTTCCAAGAGTTTCTATGCAAGTACAAGAAACGGAGGGATTATTCCAACACCATCACAGCTTTGTAATACATACTTGAAGGAGCTTATTCCTCAGAGAAACCCTCCTCTTTTTGAAGAGTGCTGTGGGATCTTCAGAGTCCACCTGAACAAGCTGTCAGGACTTCAGTTTAAAGTCTCATCCAAAGATGGCATCTCCATGAAGCATTTTTGCATGAAGCATTTTTGAAGAAATATGTTGAGGACACGGATGTGTACTGGTTCCTGGATGAGACCACTGATTCCAACGGGCGCAGTATTCTGGCAGTGCTGCCACAGCTACTGCAGAAAGTTGGGGAGAAGCATCTTATTGGAGTAAAATTTTTGCAGTGAGTCAACCACGCCACTGTGTCACAAGCTCTTCTAAAAGTCTTAAATGTAAAAATGGTTAACTTTGATAAAGTGCTTGCAGTTGCCACAGTCAGTGCAAGCTACCTGAATCAAAGCATTTAACACAGTTCTGTCGGGATTGTTTTGTGCATTGCCCATCTTCTAAACTTGATTTTGGAAATTTGATCTGTTATACTGGAGGACTTAAACACAGTGGTTGTTATGGTCAAAAAAGTCTTCTGCCAAAGTCCAATGCACCGGCATCAGTACTTAAAGTTATGGAGACAAAGGATGGAATTAAACCACAGACGTCGTTGGTGCTCCTGGGTGAAGACTGTTGAATATTTGTGTGAGTACTTGCCTGTCTTGGCAGAATTTCTTCAAGGAATTGCATCAGAGACCTTAGCAGTGAAAAATAACGCTCTTGAACAATAACACTGCAGAATTGCAAGCCCAAGCAATCTTTGTCACAGAGCACTCATCTGAGCTCATAAAACTCATTGAAGAATGTCAGGCAACAGCTGTGCCTCAGGGCCACAATCTGTACTTACCGGTCCAAAATTTACATTTGTTTATTGATTTCTGTGCCACTGCTGAAGCACAGGAGTACAGACCAAGGACAAAGGAATAGTTGGCATCCTGTTCTGAGAGTGAGGAGAGAGGCATGTGTGAACCTTTTCCAGAGAATCATGCAAGCCAGCAGTGAAAAGTTGGCACTGATTTTGAAAAAGCATCCATCAATTGCTACCTATAAAGCAGTTCATATTTTTGATCCTCACTAGCTAGCAATAATGGATGCAGAAAAAGACTTATATAGTAATGTGATTCCTGCCCTTTCAACTATTGCAAACTTCAAATGGCATGCTTATAAAGCAGCTGGAGAAAATATCACAGCAAACCACAAAATAGCAGCATGGAGAGGAGCTCAGCTTGAGCCACTTGTGAAACTTGCTAAAATTGCGAAAAGGTACATTTGGCTACCAGTGAGCACAGTTGATGTTGAAAGGTCATTTATGTTTATTCAGACCTCCTCAAAGATAATAGACAAAGCCTAATAAGAGAAATTATAAATTATAAATATTCTTCTCATGTTAAAATTTAACCAGCACTAAACTTTTGGCTGAGAATTTTTTGTTTGGTTTCTGTGGAAATTTGATTTCGAATATTAGAATTTCTCTGCAAACTGTGTTGAAACTGCACTTTTGCATCTTTTGAAAGGTGCTATCTTCTGTTTTTGTTAAAACATTAATACATTGTTTTTTTTGCAATAAGCTATGATGTGTTATTTATTTTTTACTAATAATGAGAAAAGAGAAAAAATGTAGGTTAGCAGCAAAATGTGTCTCTCAATAGCATCAATCAACCTCCACAATTTTCTGCAAAATTTGGCAAACTTCTCTGCAATGCCCCGCAAGGCTAGCAAAATGCTCTGCAATTTTTTGCAAATATTTTCACACTTTTCTATTGGTCCAGCTTATGACTAAACAAAATGCTCATTTGCATTATTGTCTATTAAACAGCTTTGTTCCGTTACTGACATCAGCTGTACATTACCCTGCTGAGTCTGAAAAACAGAAATGCCAGGTCTCTGCCGGCAAGTAGAAATAAATTTAAAGAAAGCTTGAAGTGAGAAATTGTCATTCAGTCTACATTTCACACAACCTCCATTCACATGACCTCCACTTGAGTCTCTCCCAAAACTCTCAAATGTATGAATGCAGGATTCCAGAATTCTATCTATCTCCACATCTCAATTCTGCCCAGTTTCCTACTACTCATGCATACTCATCACTAGGTATGCAACTTATTCTGTCTGTGAATATCCCATTAACTCCCTTTCCCCAGTTCCAGATAGTGATCCAGTTCCTTTTACATCTCCCACAAAGTAGGCTTTCCTAGGTTGTTTTTTAATAAATGGCTTCTATTCACAATTACCACACTTCTTGCAAAAGATGACTGGCTGGCTCAGTTGGCGGCATTCTTGCTTCTGAGACAGAAGATTGTAGGATAATGTCACATGTTGAAACTTTGACCCCATAGTGCTGGGGGAGTGCTGAATTTTTGGAGATGTAATCTTTGGATGAGGGTTTAAACTGAAGTCCTGACAGCTTGTTCAGGTGAACCCTGAAGATCCTACAGCGCTCTTCAAAAAGAGAAGGGTTTCTCTCAGTGTCTTGGGCAATGATCCGCCTGGCAAAAAATAGGCATTCACTTCATGGCTATTACTGTGGCAAACTGGCTGCCACATTCGTCTAAACAGTAACTACAATTTGCAGAAAATTCTATGATGTCCCAGAGAGGATCGACTTCAAGATCCTCACCCTTGTCTTCAAATCCCTCCACTCCTCTGCACCACCTCCTCTCTCCTCAAAACAGTACTCATTGTCTTCGTTCCTCTGGGTCTGGCCTCCTCCTTGTCCCCCGAGTCCTCCACTCCACCCTCGGCGGCCGTGCCTTCAGCCACTAAGCCCCGAGGCTCTTGAACTCCCTTCCTCACTCCCTTTGCCTCGCCCCCTCTTTTCCTATTTTCAGGTCTCTGCTGAAGACCTTTCTTTTCGACCGCGCCTTTGGTTCCCTTCCTCCTCCTCCTCCTCCCGGCTCAGCCCCGGGATCCGTTACTGTGAGGCACTCTGAGACGCTGTTCGGCGTGGAGGGCGCTATATAAATCCAAGTTGTTGCTGTTGTTGAGAAATTTCAATGTAATAGACGCTATATAATAATAATAATCCTTGCATTTGATATAGCACCTTATCATGTCTTCTAGACATCTCAACGCGCTTTACAGAATATACTGTAAAGTGAATTGACTGTGCTACAGATTCCACAAAACTCCCAAGCATCGTTGCTTGGGATCCATAAACCCGCTCCGGCTCCCACGCTAACAGAAACACGGCTGACTCTCGGGCCATCGGGACAACATCAACGTCACGTCCCATTCGCTGCGTACGTGTACGTGTACTGTGTACGTGTGAAGTGGCATTGGTGATGAACTGACGACCCCGAAGGTGTCCACGTTTCTTTCAAACACCAACAACTCGCGTCACATGCGGCGTCTCAGAGCGCTTACGTTTCTCTCGATCAGGGAACATCAAACATGTTTAACACCCACTCCCCTCCCCGGGGGGGACATAACCCCCAGGTTCCCAATGGACGGAAAACGAGCTTTAACATTCAGGTGGAAATTAAGAATTTGCCAAAATTCCACAGGAGCTTTAATTTTCAAACCAGGGATTTAAACCCAGTGAGAGGGGGAGGGGAGGGGGGGGAGGGGAGGGGGGGGAGGGGGGGGTAAGGAGGTTATCTAAGCAAACACAGGCATCACATCCTGGAGTTGTCCCCACCACTGGGGTCTGTTTACCTCGGAGTCTCCGTGACAATCGCAGCCATCCTCGGCCGCCTGTCAATCACCTGTCAATCACCTGCAGCTGGACCCCGGGCTCAGAACCTTCCCCGGATCCGCGCGCTCAGCAGCGGCGTCACGTGACTCGACTCAGCCGCTGACAGCCGACGGAAGCTCAGGAGGCGCGAGCGTCCAGAACCCCACTGAGCAGCCAGGGGGGCGGGGCCAGGCACAGCACTGAGACAGGGCATCAGGATACACAGGGGCATGGGCATCAGGATACACAGGGGCATGGGCATCAGGATACACAGGGGCATGGGCATCAGGATACACAGGGGCATGGGCATCAGGATACACAGGGGCATGGGCATCAGGATACACAGGGGCATGGGCATCAGGATACACAGGGAGATGGGCATCAGGATACACAGGGGCATGGGCATCAGGATACACAGGGGCATGGGCATCAGGATACACAAGGGGGTGGGCATCAGGATACACAGGGGCATGGGGATCAGGATACACAGGGGCATGGGCATCAGGATACACAGGGGCATGGGCATCAGGATACACAGATGGGCATCAGGATACACAGGGGGATGGGTATCATGATACACAGGGTGATGGGCATCATGATACACAGGGGGATGGGCATCATGATACACAGGGGGATGGGCATCATGATACACAGGGGGATGGGCATCATGATACACACAGGGATGGGCATCATGATACACAGGGAGATGGGCATCATGATACACAGGGGGATGGGCATCATGATACACTGGTAGTTTGGCATCATGATACCCAGGGAGATGGGCTGATACACAGGGAGATGGGCATCATGATACACAGGGAGATGGACATCATGATACACAGGGAGATGGGCATCATGATACACAGGGCGATGGGCATCATGATACACAGGGAGAAGATAAATAAAAGAAAGGAGCAAATAGACAAAGAGAGGGCAGAGAGATTAATAGATAAACAGCAAGGACAGATAGACAAAAGGACAGAAAGATACACAGAACGACACACAGTAGAGGAAATACGTTATTTACTGTTTATTAACAATGAACAAAAAAAATCTGTTCATCAAGGTCAATATTGAAGCTAATAGGAAGAAAAATGAACCCTGACAACCCTGGGTTCCACTTATTAACATTGTCATTACTGAAGCTTGTTCATATTGTGGATGTGCGGAGTTAAATCACATGTGAGAAATGCAATAAAATTGTAAAAATTGCACAATAAATAGATTTATCATCAATAAGTCACACAAAGTGTAGCGTATATTTGAAGGGGCACCATATTTATAGGGGAATGTAGCAAACTTCTCTTTTTGTGTACAAACTCACCATCCCGTTGTGTAAATTACAATGTATTGTCATGTCTCTTTAGTACCTTTTTTTTGTTAAGTTCTGTGCTTCTTGGACAACTGCCTGAGTCCATTTGTTGTTGTGGCCACTTGCTGTAAACAGACCACATAAGGTCCTGAAGGGAGAGGAAAGAGATGGAGGGATAACTGTCTGCATATCAATTGCACAGTTCTCTGCTTCCTTTGTGTAATCTACATTAAGAATTGGGGCGGGGTGCGAAGGGTGTTTGGAAACAGAATGTCAGAATCGAGTCAACTCTCTGTGGCCGTCTCAGCAGTGCAGTTCCTGAGCCAGATGGGTCCACAGTACTTCAGGGCACTGCAGATGACAGACCAGCCAACCTGGCTCATTGGCAGGATTTGAAGGAAGAGATCAGTCACTGGCTGCAAGAATCCCTCCTATCCCTGTCAGGATCCCAGGCTCGAACAACTTCAGGACCTTGGGATGTCCTCCCAACGTGAAAGCCACTTTACAAATGTAGTATTGAATTGTCTTTTGCCCTTACCTTTGTAACTTACTCCTTTTTAGATTCATGGTGAGGTTCAATTTGCTGAATTTTACATTTGAGACTGACTGAGGTTGACTTATGTTCCATATCACCACATAGTAATTCTTATATTCTGGTTCAAACAAAAATCACTTTAAACAGCCAGTTTTCCACAGAAAATGGAGAGGGGCAAACAGATAAAACTACTATACTACTGGCCAGATCGATGGAGAAGCAAGAAATCAGTTACAAACTAAATAAAAACAAGTGCTAGAATAAATGGATGAAATGTGAAAAAATGTGAAGAAGAAAGAACCATGATAATAGGATTGCTGGTGAAGAAAAAAAATACACTTACAACTGAAAGTTGAATTCTTCCAAAATATTTCTTTAATCTTGATATATGGTTGCTGTGCTACAGTAATAATAATCCTTGCATTGATATTGCACCTTATCACATGTTTATATATTGTAAAATTGAATGACTATATTTTTGTGAGCGAAAACATGACCATCATCTACATGGAGACCGATTTGTAACCCGTCAACAGCTGACTGGAAATCTTAGACACCTGCCTTGTTCATTTTGTGGCTTCTTTATTTTTTTAAATAGTTTAAACAGTTTTTTTACTGTATGGTCACGCTGTTTCCTGTTGAAAAACCTTGACTCGAGTTGTTGTGGAACCACATCCCCCTTCAGTTCTGCGCACAATTGTCTGCTGCATTTTGCCCACAAAATATACAGTCAATTCACTTTACAGTATATTCTGTGAAACGCTTTCAGACATCTTGAAAGCGTAATAAGGCGCTTGATTATAATCCAATGATTATTAAGGACTTTATTCTAACTGGATCTCTGACCGACCAGTTAGTAGCTTACTACACCTGCTGTCTTGTGGAACTTTCTAAACCCAAAACTCACAATGCTTGGTTGCAAAGATTTGAAGATTTAATGAATACAAAACATTGCCTTGAATGCCTTCCTTTATTCTGACAAACTGGTCCTCTCTTTGTTTTGCAACAATCCAAGTACTACATGACAATTCATTTGAATCATCAACACTTCTCAATGTTAATATTTAGTAGAGTAAATGAAGCTAAAGATACACAAGTTCAAAAATGAACGACTAAACAATTTATTAATGGTTCACACGCAATAACATTGTGATTAATTTCAATATAATTTTAATAATAATAATAAGCTAGTACATTTTCCTTTGATTTTTAGGTCTTGGACTTAAATCTTGCCCAGAATGTTGCAATGGGAGTCTCCTCACTCAACTGATTGTAAGAAATTCCTATAAGGCTTTCTTAACCTAATTTGTGGTTGAATCACAAATTTGTGGATGCTTGATTTATTCTTGCTACAGTAATTCCAAATGACAGAGAGTAACGAGTAAGTAAATATAGCCATGAAAGTGTGATGAAACTTTGATTCTAGTAGCTTCAGACAAAAATACAGATGTAGTGTGCTTTTGTGAAAAGAGGATACGACAATTTGATGTTTGCGAAATGGTCTCAATAAGGAGCAAAATGTCTGATAACAAGTGGCTACAACTGTTTGCTTTGGCTACAGCTAATATTTCTCATAATTGACAGCAAGTTTTGAAATGATATTACAATTAGGCCACCTTGTGGTCCAGATAGTCTGAAACAACGGATGGTATTGGAGCCTTGAATGGGCTCCCAAACAAGCCAACATGCAACGCAGGTGAAATAGATGTTTGTACTTGTGGCATGTATTGTACCACAAACAAAGGAAAAACACTTCTTGGCTGCACATTATTCCCCAACAAACTGAAATTCTAATCATTAACTTAATCAAAGTTTTGTAGTAGAAATTATACATTTGATATCAAAATTATATTGATAAAGATAAATGGAATAATTCTGTAATATACGCATATATTATATGCAACATTTTATTCTTCACAACATACATACTAGAATTATATTACAGTCAGAAAAAAAATTGGAAGGGATCCCGTAAATTAATTTATACTTAAACTATCAGCCATCAGTTGTACTAAACATAGAAAACAACAACAAATTGCATTTGTATAGCTCCTTTCATATCAGAAGGATGTCCCAAGGCACTTTTAAAACCTTTTAAATCACATTATTGTATAAAGTCATTCAAATCAGAACATATTCCATTTGAATCAAAGTTTGGGAACATCTGCACTGCATCACTTCCTTCAGTTTCAATTTGCTCATAGATCCATTTTCTGTTACATCGGCATTTAGGACCACATTTCCAAGAGCTGCACTTGGGGCAGGGATAGAAACAGCCAGAACAGTTTGCATTTAGACAGTCACATAGGTCTGTACCACAGAGAAGGAGCTTGCCCGCTTGGTCATATTTTCTCTGCCCATCAGCTCTGATTTGGAAGTAGAGGAAAGAAAAGTGGTCAGGACATGTTTGGAAATACATGGAAACAAACTGCATTAAAAAAATCTCACTTTTAATATTTTCTCCAGGTGGCACACATTAGAGGCTGAAGACATAATTTCGGCAACATGTTTCCTAGAACTGACAAAGTTCATATACAGTAGGCTAGCTTGCTTTTGGGAAGTGGGGGAGAAAATTTTCAAATCACATTTTAAAAAAAAGTCTTTTACTTCTTTTCAAAGACGAGCTGCCTCAGTTTTGTCCTGCGAGCTCTCTTTGTCTGCAGTCTGGTCTCAGGGTTGAAATCAGCTACCAAAGGACCAGGATTTCGAAATGTTAAGCACCTTAGTTGACGTTCTATTTGTTTCTATAAGAGATCAGTAAACAGGACTGTGTAAAGACAAAGCAAAAGAGCAGTAATAGCACGCATATAACATAGGAATTCAGGTTTAAAATACACTTTGTTTAGTTTATTAGTACTACAGTAAATATCTTTTTGCTATATACATATATTTAGACTTTCAAATATATCTACAATATATACAATATACAATATATCTACAGTAGTTTGGAAACACAATCAGCACACACCCAAAAAGAATTGGTCACTCAATCCATGACTGTATGTGAGACATTGCTGTGTGCAACTGGCTACCACATTTCGCCCACAAAAAACACAGGCTTATTAGTATTATACTTTATAATATATTCTGTGAAACCCTTTGAGATATTTCAAAGAAGTGATGAAGGGCTATATCAAATGCAAGGATGATTATTATTATCATCTGCCATACAATGATTTCAGCTTTTCAACAGATGCCATTTAAATGGATAGAACTGTGCAAGACCTCCAATCACAAATTAATACTGAATTTGAAACAAAAACAGAAGTCACAAGGAACATTCAGCAGGTCAGGCAGCATCTATGAAGAAAGGAAAGTGAGTCAACGTTCCGGGTCCACAACCCTTCGTCAGAACTGGGGCACGTTGGGAGGGAGATGTTTTAAGGGCTAACAGAGAGGGGGGAGGCAGGGCAAGGAAGCCGAAGGAGAAAATGGGGGTAGAGGACAGGGATGATGGGTTAAGGTGGTGTCAATGATCCAAAACAAAGGGGGGGGTTTGCAACAAACCAGAGGAATAGAGGTTTTAATACTGCAGAATAAAAGGGTGGGGGGAAGATTGCAACAAAATAGTTCCAGAGAGAAAATGTGATGATGTGGTAATGGTCACAGAAGAGGGGCAATGTGAGCTGTTATGGTCTGAAATTGTTGAAATCAATTTTGAAGAATAAAACAGAATAAAAATAATCTTTGCAGCTAACACCTTTCATGTCAAGATGGTATCTCAAATGGTTTTGCATGTTTTACTGTAAAGTGCATTGACTGTATTTTGTAGGCAGATTCTGCAGCTAATTTGCACACTATAATGTCACACAAGCAGCCATGAAATAAATGACTGACTTTATCTTAGGGATTGTGGGCCAAGAAATCGGAGAAACTCCCTTCTAATTTCAAATAGTGCCACAGGATCTTAAACTTCTATCTGAATAGACCTCCCAACACTGCATAAGAATGTCTGCCTTGACTATATAATTTCAAAGTCCTGACATTTTTAAATTTACATTGAAACCATTTAGCACTTTTCTTTGGTTTATTTTTAGGTTCCCTTGCACCACTGATATTTTGCCCTCTTTCTCTCCTGTGAAAACGGAAGCAAAATATTGATTCAACAAGCCTTATTGTCCATTATAGTCTCACCTACATCTGTCTTTAATGGGCCCACATTCCCCTTTACCACTCTCTTTCTCTTAATACATTTATAAAAACTTTTACTGTGGCCTTTAATATCCTTGCAAGTTTTTTCTCATATTCCCTTTTTTGTTACTCTTATTACTTGCTTTGTATCTATTTGTTGTATCTCCCAGTCCGCTGGATTTCCACTTTTACTTGCATTAGTATAACCCTTTTCTTTGCATTAGTATAACTCTTTTCTTTTAGGTTGATGCTGCCTCTTACCTCATTTGTTGACTGTGGTTGTTGAACTACACAAGTGGAGGATTTGTTTTTTGGGATATGTACTGTTTTTTTTATTGTTCCAAATTCTTCTCTGAATGCATCCTTCTCTCCTACCCCTACCAGCCCCCAACACTAACCTCCCCACTTGAACTGCATCCTGCTCCACGGTAACTTGGTTAGCATTCTGCTCATCCTCCCCGTAGCCTTCTTCCCCACCCTCATGTGGAGCAAGGACATTTACCTGTTGGACAGGACCAGTTCTGCTTCCACTAGGTTGCCCTGCTGTCTGTCAGTCACACAGTTCTATTCCTGTACCTGTCTCTCTGTTCCGAAGTAAACTATTCAGATATTCCTCCCCTCCCTTATGTGTTGGAGTGTCTCTATCGCGCACTCCAGCTCAAAGGCTCTGAGCCGGAGTGACTCAAGGTATTTCCCACAGATGTGATCATCTGTGACAGTCCACAATTCCCCAAATTCTGCAGTCTGGACACACTGCCTGTACAACTATTTTCTACTGTTTATTTAATGTTTAATTTTTTTCTAATATGAGCACCTCCTTCCCCCTCTGCACCAAATTCTCACTCTCACCAAATTCTTGTTGTAGAGGCCTCATTCTGTTCCCCCCTCACTCCTTTCACAGCTTCTGCCATTGGGCTCTCTGCAAGTTATTTACAGTAATTTCTCTGTCCATTGGGCAGATACTACTACAACAACTTGCATTTCTATTGCACCCTTCATATATAGTAACATCTCAGAGTGCTTTACAAGAATAAGGTCAGACACTGAGCGAGGACATAGACATAGTTGTATTTGAAGAAGGGGATTTGAGGCAGAACGTAATGACAAAGATAGGGTCAGACAGAAGAAGTCCAAAGTCAGGGGCATGGATATCCTGAACTGCATTTCACAAACTCTATTTCATCATTTACTTATGAATGACCAGAGAACAAAAATCAATATTTTGGAATTAAGATCATTTTAGCAAAAAAACTGACAACGTAGGCCTTATAGTAAGGGAAGAACATGGAGTGTCCCATCAATCTTTTCTGATTGCATAAGTTACCTAATATTATAGAACATGGAGTCCAACCTTACAACTATGACTACTACACCTGAATATAGTTAATCCATTCTCATCTTGCGTACCATTTTCTTTCGGGTTTCAGCTTCAGCCACATTTTCCTCTTCCACAACTTGCTTTCTGTCTTTCATGGAATAATTTTTAGCAAAGGAGGTGGTTCCATTTTGAGAAGAAATGCTCGCCTCAGCACAGTACTTCATGACAGACATTTCTCTATTTGAAAAATATTGAAGAATTGTAAAGATTTTTATACAAGAAATCTAAGAAGTACATGCAATGAAATCTGCACAGAAAGGCTGCCTTTAAGACACTAAACAGTCACTAATGAATCCGACTGAAGTAGGTTTCTAGAAAAAAACCCTCATGAATTGACTTCCTGTAAACAACAGAACTGCATCAAATCAAATGATCAGCTGAACAGGAAAAAGCAAAAAGGAAACACCTTGGTCACAATGACAAGCTGTCACATGGGAAAGCAAACAGTCACACCAGAGACCAGAGTTTCCCACCTGTGTTCTCTTCCGGTGCAGAAATAGAGACCCATAAAACAGCGAGAAATTGCATTGTAAAACCACATTATATACCACAAGTCACGAGTTAAACTTTCTTTTTGTGCTTGAGTTAGAGGACGTCAGCTTGATAGTGGGGACTGTCATAGTCATTCATCTCTTTTCTTATCAGGTGAATACAGGTCCAGGCAGAGCGATCTCAAGAACTACCCAGAACACTTTATCATGTAAACCATTCCTCTTTACTCAACCAGTAATATTCTACACACAGAGCTTTCCGGAAACTGCACAATGGCGCAAAAATAAATCAACTTTAGCTCAACAAGCAATCTTATACTATAAGAACTGCTACAAACAGTTTTGCGCTGCCTGGGAATCAAACCCAGGTCCTCTCGCTTGCGAGTCGAGTGTTCTAGCCAATGTCCTACAGGACTCCCATGCTCCTGGACTACCTGCTCCTTTAAAATAATAAGCACCCAATTACCAGTTTCAATAATACCAATGTACCAGTGAGTTTATTAGCTATTAGACTGAGAGTGCTGTTTTAATTTGAGCAGTAAGGAATTAGATACAGGTTATGGTCTATAGAGAAGTCCAACGAGGAATATATTTAGCAATTTAAATTTTTTGAAAGAGTAAACTACAGTGCAAAGCACAACCAGCCCAACATATCCACCAGTAGCTGCAATGGGGACATAATATTATGTGCGAGATTAGTCATTAAAATTCTCCAACTCATCAACACGTAAAGCTTGAAACAAAAACAGAAGTCGCTGGGAACACTCAGCAGGTCAGGCAGCATTTATGGAGAAAGGAAAGTGAATCAACGTTTCTGGTCCATGACCCTTCGTCAGGAGGGAGGGAGAGGCTTTTAAGGGTTAACAGAGAGGGGGGAGACAGGGCAAGGAAGACAAAGGAGAAAATGGGGTAGAGGACCGGGATGATGGGTTAAAGAGGTGTTAATGATGCAAAAAGGGGGGATTACAACAAAGCAGGGGAACAGGGGTGTCAATAATGCAAAACAGAAATGCAACAAAATAGACAGACCAGAGAGAGAAAAGGTTGTCTGGGACCCAGATGATGTGGTAATGATCACAGAAGAGGGGGAGGGGAATGTGAGCTGCTATGGTCTGAAATTGTTGAAATCAATATTGAGGCCAGAGGGCTGTAAGGTCCCTAGCAGATAAATGAGGTGCTGTTCCTCAAGCTTCCACTGTGGCTCATTGGAACAGCATAGGAGACCATGGATGGAGAGGTCAGAGTGCGAGTGGGAGGGAGGGTTGAAGTGGCCAGGTGAACGCCATGGTCACTTTCCTTTCTCCATAGATGCTGCCTGACCTACTGAGTGTTCCCAGCGACTCATGTTTTTGTTTCAGATTTCCAGCATCTGCAGTATTTTGCATTTAGTTCATACATAAAGCTTGATATTTGAGCAGTCCTTTCAATCTAACAAAAATAATGATCAACAGCACTAGACAAGGCACTGAGCCACTCATTATGCTGAATACCTCCATGAACACAATTCCCTTCCAGACTCCTGAAGCATGTAGCGTATAATTATCTTCAACTGTCTAATTAATTGGATGTCCCTGTAAGGAACAGGTGAATAAAATGTGAAGTAATTTGTACCACGTAAAGCTTTTTTTAAATAAAAGAGACTTCATTGGGAAAAGTTGTTACCGTAACATTTAGAAAAACAGAAACATAGAAATCTGCAGTGCAGAAAGAGATCATTCGGACCATCGAGTCTGCACTGTGTTCAGAGTTGTTTTCCCTCTAACAAACAGGGAGGCTGAGGATTTGGTTCATTGTGTTGTGTAAATTCAGATGTAAAACAAGTAATAGTTGTTAAGAGTTGAATCATGTGCAAGAAGGTCCAAGTCCCATGGCTTTGCCTTGCTATGGTCATCACAACAAAGCCATCAGTGCATTGTTCTGACCATAACCAAAAGGCCATCTGGTTATCAGATACACACCAACACCCTCCCCCCACCCCACCCAACATGTTTTGAATATACATTTTCAAATGGTGATCATATTACAAACACGTTGATATTTCAAAAGGGTGAATGTTTAGCTAACCTCCAACTGCTTGCAAGAAGTTTCTGCAGATTCAGCACAAAGCCTGAGCAGGACAGGTGTCAGTCAGTTAGTCAGAGCTGAAGCGATGCCCAAGCACCTGATATACAAACTGTCAGTCTGCACTCGCTTCGCTCTGCAGGCGATCTGTGTATGTGTTGTAAATGCCGTGTTCAACGCTACTTCTCCAACACCATTCACATCTGATCAATGCAACTTATTCCTTACATGATGAAATACTGCCCCCCCCCTGCCCCCCTCTGCACGCGCGCCTTCATCTCTCGCTTTTTTTCCCACTCCTCTCTTCCCACCTGTCAGTCAAACATAAGCAATACATTTGCAACTGCAACTCGGGCTTCAGGGTTGAAAGCGCAGTAACGTCACTGTGTAGTGATCACCTGCAGCAACACAGCCGTGTAATCAATCACCTTTAGGGCTGAAAAGCACGACTTGTATCACAGCACAAGGCTAGCTCGTTGTAACAAAAGCATCTTGGCGCCTTGGGACGTTCTCCCAAAGGCGCTATAAAAACATAATTTTGTTGTGTATTGTTGCTGGAAATGGGTCAATGCATTATTGCAATTGTACCAGAATGTGAGGTTCATCATTTTGGGGGATTAGGAAAGGTTAGTTTAAACAAAAGTCTTTAGGGGAAATATACGCAGGGCAGATACATATCACAATCATCTGACCCAATAGTTTCTAGGTGCACAGAAATACAAGTATGCGGAGAAATTTCACTGGCGCCCCAAAGGAAATTTCACTGGTGCCCCAAAGGAAATTTCACTGGCGCCCCAAAGGAAATTTCACTGGCGCCCCAAAGGAAATTTCACTGGCGCCCCAGATCTACCAAGTCATTGTCTCTTCCAGCGGAAGCAAATTGTTCCACCCCCAGATCTACCAAGTGTCTACCATCAAGAGATATATCACTCCGACTTATATATTTTTTAAAAATCCTTGTATTTGATATAGTGCCTTATTGCATTGACGAACCATCTCAACGGACTTAACAAGAATTGCTGTAGAGTGCAATCAATGTGTTTGTAAGGAAAAAATAATCTACACTATAGATTTAAAAATGTATTGATCATGTATGTTGCTTTGAAAATAACCTGGATAGTGGGAGTGCCTGTTCTATTATGCATGGTACAAGGTTTTTCAAAATTTGTTGAAAATATTTTTCAGCCATAATTAAGCACCTGTGTTCACAATTTTCCAACCAGTTTAGCAGTTGCTTTTAATCGCAACCATGCATATGCTGCTAACCAATATGCTGCATGAATCATAGTCCACAATTGTGCCACTTACAAAATAAATTTACCTACAAAAATGCAGTCACTACAACTTATAATAACAATCCTTGCATTTGATATAGCTATTTATCACTTCTTAGAAACATCTCAAAGCACTTCACAGAATATACTGCATAGTGAATTTACAATATTTTGTGGGTGAAACGCAGCAGCCAATTGCGACAGCAGAGTCCTTCAAACAGTCATGTTTTGAGTGACAAAATCACTATTATTTTTTTTGAAGCGATTACCACCCCCGTAAAAACAATCCACCAATCGACTAACAACTGGGCTCCTAACTTACTACTAGGCAAATAAAGGCGTGTGAAGTAAGGAAACTTGCCTAGGTTTCGCCCTACCTGGGAATCAAACCCAGGTCCTTTCACATGCAAGGCGAGTGCTCTAACCAATACGTTGCAAGACTCCACTCAAATTTACACTGAATCCTGTGTGGTGCTTTGAGACGTCCTTCCAACATGAAAAGCACTATATCAAATGCAAGGATTATTTTACAGTGGTTCCATCCATGCAGCAGATATACAACACATGCAGAGCTTGTTACTATAGTAACCATTCAACCTACCATTTGAACCCATCTTCATCGTTTGGCAATTATGGAGGAGGATTTAGTCGATCAAGTTACCAGTTGTCCACCTCGTTGTTAGCAAAGCTAACTACAGCTCTGGTATGAAGTGCTGGCAAGATTCCCTGTGCTTGTCTAAGTAGGTGTTAGATACTGTAGTTAGGTGTACAATATTGACTCACAGAATTGAAGACACGTTTAAGCCTCCACTGATTAGCCAACTTGAGTGCCTGGTGAACTATCAACAGTATATTGGATTGCTGAGGACTTGCCTGTCTGTGTTTACCTGGTGTATCCCCTGGGAGGCCTCGCTTAACTGGTCCCAAAAGGTTCCATGTGGCATCTGTGTTTTTTCGACCTCAAAAGTGAAGGGCCAAACGGAAAAGTCTAAATTTCAGTGCACAACAGCAATAGCAAATTATGAATCTTGAACAGACTTGTTAAAAAAAACCTTGCTTACAACTGCAGCCACCAACGTGTGGGAGGGATGGCAAACTGAGCATGCATCTTGCGTTGTACTTGAAATATAAAAACAATCAGGAAATGTTTGGGCAAAAATGTAATATGTAATGTCGACAGTAATATGCGGTACACGTGATGTGTAAAAGCAGTAGCATTAAGTAATACATGCATTGAAAAAAAACAACCTTATGATAATAAGGGTGCTTTAATATTCTTGATTTGGAGTCCAGAAAAAGCAGTGAGAAAGAGGGTGGATATTCA